CTCATAGCGACCCCTCCTTGGGTTTCCAAGGCAGTATCACTACGGAAGTAGGATTGCCCAACCTTCCTTCCGAGGAGTGACTGGTGGGTTTGAACCGCCAGCCTTCTGGTTAGCAGTCAAGTGCTTTAGCCACTATGCTACCAGAGCTCCTACTTTTTTAAATAGCTAACTTTATTAAAAACACACACTCAAATCAGCAAAGCAGAATTTTAGCAATGACTAAAAAACAACAACAAACCAAGCCTGTTGATGTCAAGCCGATTCCAACTCATAGTGACCTTACAGGACAGAGTAGAAAATCCCCATAGGGTTTCCAAGGCTTTATGAAGTAAGACTGCCACATGTCTTTCTCTGGTGGAGCAGCTGGTGGGTTTGAACCGCTGACCTTTCGGTTAGCAGCCAAGAGCTTAACTACTGCACCACTAGGGCTCCTTTGCTAATGATGGGGCTATATAATTATACAGAAGTGAATCTTTTGCTTTATTGCTTTTCACCTCTTCCTTTTCTGTCACTGAATTTCTAAGCCATCAATTACCTACATGTTTTTACTGAGTTCCAACTTACTGTTTCTTTCTTTGGCTAAGTCTCCTCAGAAGTGTTTTGCAAAGTTTACTTTACAAATCCACAGGGTAGGTGTAGTGAGATGAACTATTAAGATGGGGTGTCTTTAAAATAGGAAAACATACCCTTCTTTTGGAAACTCTTGTTTTATTTCCACTTGATGATGACTAAGTAGTTCGGCTGTTTTTGAATTGAAAACCTGAAAAATATAGTGCAAGATTAGGGTAAAAATTCAGGGAGCTATCAAAGAGGTTTACAGCTCTACTCAGTTCTTATTCATTAGTAGAAAATTCCAATCAGATGAAATGCCAAAGATGTTTTACTTTCTCTTCATAAGAGAGAATCATAAAAGTTATAGGGGGAAAAAAAGGTATAAGGGCCCTCAGAAGTAATAACTTTCCTTTTAGATAAATAGAACCTACTGAAGATGAACCTAAATTAAGAGACAATTCCTTATTCCCTTACAAAAAAAAAAAAAGGCTCCAGATATAGGAAAGTTAATACATCAACTAATAGTACTGATTTTTTTCAGAGAATAGGAAGAGCAAGAAAATAAAAGACATCTGGCAAAATGCTGATCATAAAGGCCTCAAGTTCTAGTCCTCATTCATTTGGGATGTACAGACAGAGCCGAAAAATTCTCAGGCAGAGAAATGCACTGTGTAAATTCCTTTGAACCGTAGCTAGCTAGCTTTTACGTTGTTGTTAGGTGCCAGCAACCCCACGTGACAGAGCAGTTCTGTTACACAGGGTTTTTTCTAGGCTATAATCTTTATGGGAGCAGATTGCCAAGTCTTTCTCCCACAGAGCCAGAGCCACTGGGTGGGTTTGAATCTCCAACCTTTCGGTTAGCAGCAGAGCACTTAACTGTGCAACATCAGGGCTCCTAGCTTTTATAAGAGATAAATAGAATAGAACATTATCAGAAGCCAGGAGAAATAGATACCGGAACCACCCAGGAAGAGCTTTCTGTGACAAACTCATCATGAATTGCTGACCCTTGATATAAAACCTTAAAACCAATGGATCAAAGCTAACAAAGTGCTGTGCAACCCTCCACAGTCTTACTATTACTGTTGTTGTTGTTATGTGCCGTCGAGTCGGCCCCGACTCATGGCGACCCCTCCTTGCGTTTCCGAGGCAGTATCACTACAGAAGTAGGATTGCCCAACCTTCCTTCCGAGGAGTGGCTGGTGGGTTTGAACCGCCAGCCGTCTGGTTAGCAGGCAAGTGTCTTAGCCACTATGCTACCAGAGCTCCCTACTATTACTAGAACACTTTTTAAAACTTACCAACATGTTTTCATGTATTTTGTGATTTTCGGCTGGCAGAATCTATACTTAGGTACCAAAGTACTTACTCCTTCAGAGTAAGAATCCATATTTTAATTATAATTCACCTCCCAAATCACTGTAATTGCAGCAGGAGAGTCACTCACTTCTAATTAGTTAAGAAAGTGTTTCCATGCCTAAGTTTCCTGTGGGAGAAAATTACCTGCTTAATGCAGACTAAGAAAAGAGAAAATAATAAGAAAACACACTGAGTTGTTACCCCCACCACACACACACCTCTTCTTCTGGAGAAAATGATAAGCATGATGAAAGCAAGAGGGCAAATTCTCAAGTCCTCTGAGGAGATAAAATATCCTTCAGGTCAAAGGTTAATTCGACACATCATAAATGATAGGCACTGGGCAGAATCCCATGTAATATCTTGGTAATTTACAACTTAGTCTTAGACTATGTTTCTAGGACATCAGCTCCACCAGGTCAGGAACCTCTGTCCTCTTTTATTTGCTGATGGATACTTAGGACCTAGAATAATGCTTGGCATAAAGTCAATACATACATATAATATATATATTATATATTTATTTGTTGAATGTCTGGGGAAAAAAAGATCTATCGGGTACTTATTATGAGCAAAATGATAAATCAAATGAGAAACTGCTATGTGGCAGAAAAACTAATAGGAAACCATAATCGCTTTATTAGTACTCATATTAGTGCTGCCCTCGGAGTCTACCCTCAAATCTACAAAGTACTCTGGGGTTAAAAAACAAGGTGTCCCTTTTTGCTGGCTAAATTCATACAGACCTCAAAAACAGGACCTATGAGGCTGTGAATGGGGTGGGATCCCTCTTCAATCACCTCTTAGCATTAACTAGGCAAACATCAGCACCCTCATGCTAAAAATGGATTTACTGGCCTTGGGAACAGGCTGTTGTGTGCTGTCAGTAAGTTCCAACTCACAGTGACCCTATAGACAGAGTAGAATTGTCTCACAGGGCTTTCTAGGTGGTTAAGCATTTGGCTGCTAACCAAAAGTTCGGTGGTTCAAACCCACCAGCCTCTCCACAAGAGAAAGATGAGGCAGCCTGCTTCCATAAATATTTACAGCCCTGGAAACTCTATGGGGCATTTCTACTCTGTCCTATAGGGTCGCTATGAGTTGGACTTGACTAAACAGCAATAGGTTTGGTTTTTGGTAATCTTTAGGAGAGCAGATCACCAGGTCTTTTCTCCTGCAGAGTCACTGGGTGGGTTAACAGTCAAGGACTTAACTGTCACACTATCAGGACTCCTTAGAACAGGATAGTGCCACAGAAAAGGGAAACATTTTGGTAAATTCTATTTGCCATATTAGCACATGAAGCCACCCCATCACACAGCATTTGGACATTAATAGAATAGAGCCTGGATGCCCTTAGTTCCTTCTAACTCTATATTTTAAAAAAAGATTGACATCACATTTAGGTGTTTGGAGTCTGACCCTGTCCACCCCAACCAAGTTTGTGGGACATTCTTTAGATTTAATATTTTTTGGAATCTGCAATTTTCTGGAGTAGCATTGTACAACAGAAATATAATGGAAATCACAAACGCAAGCCACATATGTAATTTTAAATTCTGTCATAAAAGAAACAGTTGAAATTAATAATATATTTGAACCCAATATATCTAAGATAGTATCATTTCAACATGTGAGCAATATAAAAAATTATTACTGAAATAACTTTACATTTTTTTTTGTTACTAGGTCTTTGAAATCTTGTATTTATTTTACACTTACATACAGTTCATCTCAATACAGAGTAGCCACATTTCAAGTGATCAGTAGTGACATGTGGCTGGTGGCCAAATGTGGACAATGCAGCTCTTGAGTCATATCCCCCCCCACACACACACATATCTAGGTTCTTGTGAAGAATCAAAATGACTCCTCTTGACCATCTATTTGTCTGCATGTGGACAAATGTACAAAGAAGGCTAAAGATATTTCCACAAGACTCTACAGCTAGAGAGAGTAACTAATTCCTCATAAGAACACATTGCCCAGTAGCGAGAATACTCATCTGTTATCTTCAAGTTGATTTCAAAAGCCATTGTCAATTGAAAAGGGCAGTGGCTGCATAGTTTGCTTTATAAAATGTCTAGCATGGTTATTTGTTCAAAAATCACTTGATACCAGTGGAGAAACACACCACAGAATTATAGATGCACCTTATCATTTCAAGGCTGAATTTCACCAAACTTAAAGGTCAGTTTAAACTTCCAATATACAACAGCTTTGAAGATTATCTTTAAGAAATTAAAAAGAATGTTTGAATATATGATGACTCCAGGGGAGCTAAGAGAGGTTCTAGAGAGTCGTTTTCAAATTGTATACCCTGCAGCTCCAACCAAAAACCAAACTCACTGCCACTGAGTTGATTCCAACTCATAGCAACTCCCATTGGGTTTCTAAGGCTGTAAATCTTTACGGAAGTAGATTGCTCCATCCTTCTTCCACGGAGCAGCTGGTGGCTTTAAACTGCTGACCTTCTGTTTAGCAGCCAGATGCCTTATCCATCCAGGAACTTTCAAAAGCCAGCTGGGTCTGTGGACCACACCCTACCTTAGAGATTAAAGTTTTATTGACTTCAGCCTCCAGATTTAAACTGTTTCATGATAGAGTTCAGCAATAGCGTTTCAAGGTAAAAATAAACGACAACACAAACTGAAACCATGGCCCTAATCTCTCATCTTTACGAGAAATGAAATCCAAGAGATTAGGTAAGATTGACGAACAAGACTAAGCTCGGGGTTTTCTGAATACCAATTCAGTACCTGCCCACTACAAACTCATAATAATAGTGGAAATGGTTTTTCAATTCTTCATTAACTGGCAATCAATACAAAGAACTTGTATAACATAGGGAGGCAAGTGCTATGAAGTAAAAAAAGACACGATATCCAGACTTGTGGGGGTCAGGGAAGGGCTCTCCAGAAGAGGTAACTAACTTCTAAGGAAAGACTAAAGGTGAATAGAAATGAGTCCAGAGACAGGAAACGGGAAGTTAGGCTGAGGCAAGAGTCCTTAGGTGTCACAAAGGGTTAAGGGCTTCACCACTAGCTGAAAGGCTGGTGTTTGTAACCCACCCAGAGGCACCTCTGAAGACAGGCTTTAAAAACCCTATGGAACAGCTCAACTCTGCACAAATGGGGTCGCCTTGAGTCAGAGTTGACTCGGACAGCTAATAACAGCTAATAACAACAGCCTGAGGTTGGCAGTTCCACGATAGAATTCTTGCCTTCCATGTGGGAGACAAGGTTCGATTCCTAGCCAATGTCCTTCATGCACAGTCCCAATCCATCTGTCAGAGGAGGTTTGGATGTTGCTGTGACGCTGTGCATGGGGGTGGCCATGAATCAACAACAGGCGAAAGGAGGGAGAGCAGCTGCTATGTGTCTACAGTGATCCACGTGATACAACACCAGTCAGTGCCACTAAGAGGTAGTGGCAATAGAGGTTGAGAAAACTCAAGTGCATGTGTTGAAAAAGATTTAATTGGGAGGTATAAGCAATTAGATACAACAAGGGATTGAACAGAGAGGAGTGACAGAAAAAGAGGAAGAGTCAAGGATGGTGGGTTACAGGTTAGCACAAATAGGTAGGCAATGTTTATAGGAAAAGGAATAGAGTAGGAGCAGGAGTTTGGGTTACCGAAGGGATCACAAGAGTGCAGATGTCATTTTAGATAATGTGCGTTTTAGGGGCCATCAAATCAATTACAACTCATAGCGACCCTATGCACAACAAAACAAAACACTGCCTGGTCCTGGGCCATACTCACAATCGTTGCTATGCTTGAGCCCATTGTCGCAGCCACTGGGTCACTCCATCTTGAGGATCCTCCTCTTTTTTGCTGACCCTCTA